CACCAATCAGCTGCCTCCTGCACGCCCCCCACTAGGGATCGAGCCCGCAACCCAGGCATGTGCCTCCAACTGGAATCAAACCCAGGACCTTTTATTTATTTATTTATTTTATTATTTTTTTCCTATAATTTTTTATGGTTGGGGGTCACCACAACATGAGGAACTGTATTTTTTTTTAAAATATGTTTTATTGATTTTTTACAGAGAGGAAGGGAGAGAGATAGAGAGTTAGAAACATCGATGAGAGAGAAACATCGATCAGCTGCCCCCTGTACGCCCCCACTCGGGATGTGCCCGCAACCAAGGCACACGCCCCTGACCGGAATCGAACCTGGGACCCTTGAGTCCGCAGGCCGATGCTCTATCCACTGAGCCAAACCAGTTCTGGCAAACCCAGGACCTTTTAGTCCATAGGCCAACGCTCTATCCACTGAACCAAACCAGCCAGGGCAGAAACATTTTTTAATGTGCTAAATAACATTCCATCCAATGGAAGTTATATTATTTAACTAAGCTGCTACTGTTGGTAGACAATTTAAAAAATAATATAATGCAGTTATATACTGCTTATACACTATAAATTAATGATAAGTTTGCCAGATGAATAATGCTGGGGTGAATATCTTTGCACATTACCTTTATTTGCATTTTTAGTTATTTCCTTAGGTTAGGATATTAAGAAAATTACTAAGTTAAAGAAATGCCCCCTTGCAGCAGAAGGGAAACTAATATTCTTGATGATGATAAACTTTCATCAAAATAGGGACTACCACAGAACCAATGTCCCATGTGAAAGCAGAAATAATCTACACAGCTCCAGAGAATTAAAAAGACATCTTCTTCATCAAACTTTCACTGAACAACTCTCCAACCAGGCTTGGGCACGGGGAACAAGGGATGAATGAATCATAACATCTTCAAGAAGCTCATGATCTGGTGAGCAAAAAAATAGCTGCCTATCAAAGGTCATATTCCCTATTTGTAGTGGTTCTAAATATGTCCATAAATTCTTTGATATTTCTGGTTTTGAGAGGTGGACTTTTAAGTTTTCTCCCCTTAATATGGACTAGACTTACTGACTCACTTCTAATAAATAGAATGTGATGAGGATGAAACATGTGTGATATCTAAGGGTAGGCCATTGAAGATTCATCAAAAGACATTGAAGATTCCTTCTTGTTCTCTCTCTTGGATCACTCACTCTGGAGGAAGCCAGATGCCATGGCATGAGGACACATAGAGAGAGCCATGTCACAAGGAACTGAGGTCACCTGATAACAGCTGGCAAGGAACAGAAGGAAGTATTTACCAACAGCCACATGAGTAAGTCATCTTAAAATGGGAAAAATCCAGTTCCAGTCAAGCCTTCAAATAACTGCACCCTTAACTCCCTGGCTAATGTCTAAAAAAAAAATCATGAGAGACCCTGAGGCACACAGCTAAGCTACTCCCCAATTCCTGACCCCACAGAAACTATGTGAAGTAAATTTGCTAAGATAATTTGCTATTTAGCAATAGATAACTTAAAAGCTACTCCAGTGATGACAGCAATAGGGCATGAGGAGAAAAGATAGATGGAAGGGAATTAACCATTACTGATCCCCTCCTCTGGGCCAGGCATGTGCTGATGCCTTACCTACTTTATCCTTTTTAATCTTCACAAAATCCCTATGAAGTATTTTACAGGTGATGTAACAGGCACAAAGGTTAAGTGACTGGCTCAAGATCCCACTCACTCCTTGCAAGTAACATTCCCTGAGGTCTGCCTAACTTAAAAGGTTGTACTCTTCCCCTCACCATTCTGCTGAACTCATTTCCAAATCTTCCTGCAACGTGCTTCCCCAATGCCTGTGAGGACCCTTCTGCAAAAAGGGCTCAGTATGAGGTCAGCACTATCAATGACAAGTACCAAGGAAAGCAGGCCCTCCTTACCTTTTCCGGTCACATAATAGGCCCCCAGTTTGTAGCAGCTATCACTGTGTTTGTTCTCTTCACAGTTGAACTTCAACACCTTGGCAGCCTCATCAAAATTCTTCTGGATCCCTTCCAAATAGTCTACCAGCCGATAACAACCTGTGAAAAGAGGACAAGAGCTTTTCTTCATGTCTGGGCCACTGCTTAGCAGTGGGGAGGGTCAAGGTGTGACGGGTCAGATGTGTCTTTCATTTAGGACCAGCCGCTGTTCTCCTGAGGTGTGACAAGGAATGCAGGTGGTGTTCAGCCATTCCTACAAAGGCATTGTTTGCCCTTGGGCAGGGGTAAATTTGCTAAGATAATTTGCTATTTAGCAATAGATAACTTAAAAGCTACTCCAGTGATGACAGCAATAGGGCATGAGGAGAAAAGATAGATGGAAGGGAATTAACCATTACTGATCCCCTCCTCTGGGCCAGGCATGTGCTGATGCCTTACCTACTTTATCCTTTTTAATCTTCACAAAATCCCTATGAAGTATTTTACAGGTGATGTAACAGGCACAAAGGTTAAGTGACTGGCTCAAGATCCCACTCACTCCTTGCAAGTAACATTCCCTGAGGTCTGCCTAACTTAAAAGGTTGTACTCTTCCCCTCACCATTCTGCTGAACTCATTTCCAAATCTTCCTGCAACGTGCTTCCCCAATGCCTGTGAGGACCCTTCTGCAAAAAGGGCTCAGTATGAGGTCAGCACTATCAATGACAAGTACCAAGGAAAGCAGGCCCTCCTTACCTTTTCCGGTCACATAATAGGCCCCCAGTTTGTAGCAGCTATCACTGTGTTTGTTCTCTTCACAGTTGAACTTCAACACCTTGGCAGCCTCATCAAAATTCTTCTGGATCCCTTCCAAATAGTCTACCAGCCGATAACAACCTGTGAAAAGAGGACAAGAGCTTTTCTTCATGTCTGGGCCACTGCTTAGCAGTGGGGAGGGTCAAGGTGTGACAGGCCAGATGTGTCTTTCATTTGGGACCAGCCGCTCATCTCCTGAGGTGTGACAAGGAATGCAGGTGGTGTTCAGCCATTCCTACAAAGGCACTGTTTGCCCTTGGGCAGGGGCTGAGCAATGTAAGGACGGGGGAGACCTTGGCCCCTGCACTGGCTTCTCCTCTCACCATCCCTTCTGCCCTGCCAGCCAGGCTGGCCCAAAGATGCAGTGACTTCCATAACTGAAACTCTGCTAGCTTTGGAACTTCTTAGGAAATTCAGTGGTCAAACACAGAAAACCAAACGGGTCCATGGGCTAGTCTTTGTAGCAGCAAGAAAGGGGTGCTTCGATGACTGTACCTTACTCCTCAGCCAGGCTGGGAATGTGAAGTCTGACAACAGAGTAGAAACAGCAGCTACCAAAGGAGTTGGAAATATACTCTCTCTCCGAGGCAGGCTCTAGTCCCAGCAAGCCTCTCCTTATTGTCTCTCCCCTGTCCCTTCTTCATCCCCAATAACACCCCAACATCTCTCATTCATTTTCACTCAACGACATTTGACCATGGATGCTCATCTATGCACAAAACATACACTGTCCCAGATGCTGGGAATACAGTCAATTGCCCTCCTAAAAATTACATTCTAGAGGAGTAAACAATAAATAAGTAAATAGGTGAACAAGATGTATTCAAACAGTAATAAATGTTATGATTGAAATGAAACAGGATTGTAAGATAGTTTGTTGTGCATGTTGGGGGAATGGTTAACAGACTAGGTGATCAGGGAAGACCAATTCCTTCTGACCAACACCAGAAATCTTTCCCAACCATCCTGCTCCTCAAGTAACTCTCCTGTGAATTCTCTCTACACTTAGGACATGGACCAGCTCTCTTAAGAAGAACCCTGGGTTCTTCTTAAGCATTATATAATGCAGAGCAACTCTGCGTAGTTGGTTAGCATAAAAAAGTAACTACAATGCCCTAGCCGGTTGCTCAGTGGTTAGAGCATCCATGGGCACACTGAAGGGTAGTGGGCTTGATTCCCAGCCAAGGGCACTTACCTGGGTTGCAGGTTCGGGAGGCAACCAATGGATGTATCTGTCTATATGTCCCCCACCCCCTTCCATTCTCCCTAAAAAAAAATAAATAAATGGGAAAAACAAACAAACAAACAAAAAAGATTTATATCATGTTCTGGAACTAGGCTGCAAAGTAGAGCCAGTGCCATTTTTTTTTCCTCTATAAAAATAAAGTAGGAAGCCCTGACCAGTGTGGCTCAGTTGGTTGAGCGTGGACCTTTATACATCAAAAGGTGGTGGGT